GGTTGTAGTGCGCTGGTATTGAGTATGAATGGCTCTTGGGAATAGGTCACTTGTCCGTCTTTCGTTGTCAATTTCAGGACTGGATATGTGGCCTGAACGAGACCCGATTACACTTCAACCGTGAACACATCCCAAAAATGTTCAAAGATGACTGAGCCCATTTTTCGTTGTTATGATGGCGTGTGAGCGAATGAATGTGAAATTTAGCAGGCGTGAATTAGACGACAACCAGCGACTGGATGGTCACAAGATTTTGAGAACGAAAAATCTCGATGAACACAATGGTAACAAGATCATCATTCTCAATTAGTGTTGGGAGTCGCAAGGTTTTTCGCAGTGGCACCCGACGAATGCTATGTCGGTGGCAATTGCATATTATCTGGGCGTCGTTAAAGTCACTGAGCATGTAAGTTGACACGTGCGATTATTTGATTTATCATTAATTACATATTCTTAGGAACATCATTGAGACTGGTTACATGAAACGACACCTGATACATCCAAGGATCCATCAGCGTGGCCACGTTCAAAGGTTGGTCGTCCCAACTGGGCAAGTGTTCATCATCTGCGACCTGCATGTGATGGCTGTTTACATGAAAGTCATCATAGACTATTTGAACGAAGCTAGGTGGACTTCCTTGTTTCAAAAATTGCTTAATTTTCGAACAAAAGAATGGAATCATATTCACGTTTGATGGTATTAATCGAAATCTGTGATTATTCCAACAAATCCTCAACAGTCACAGAATGATTTCAATTTCTAGCTTTTCATATTTGGTCATTTTCCATGATGTGGAATGATCAGTTTATAAAAGATCTATGATTTCGTTTTGTTGATCTCACGAGACACGCACCTTCGTTAACTCACTCCACAATTGTGTATCGTTCACATTCTTGTACTGATACTTATGCAGGTAATTGCGGAGACCAAGTTTCAACACTCGTGGTGTTATCGTATTGCTTAACATGTTCAGCAAACTGGCACCCTAAAACACTGATTAGTCAAGCAATCCACTTCACTCCCAAAAGTTCAAAATTCTCTTTTCGGTCGACCTACTTTGACTGCATTTTATAAACTAGAATACTTTCCACTTTCACTGAAACACAAAGACAGTTTGAATTCTAGGAACAAACCAGTGCAAGATAAAAGAGTAATCTTGGATATTCGGTTGGATACCTTATTATATGGAATAGCAGTGAAGTACTTCGGTGCATCAGGTATAACTGGTTTGGAAGTACCAATTTTCGAGTCAGCCGCAAATCCCAGTAAACCTTTATGATAGCGTTCGAATTTCTACAAAGAGCATAGAGAAATTTTGGTGACTTTCTCTGATCATCGATCAATTTATTTCTTCTATGTTAGTGTATGCAACGTAGAGGTTCATTTATTTTAATCATTTCCTTCATCCAAGCCATTCACCATGAGGAGAATTAATCCATAGTCAACATTTGTGTGTTTTTGATCACACTTTTGATTGGACCATCAAAATGAAATTGACATCTGAAACTTACTGGGAATTTCCTACTACACGATTCATTACTAACTTTGATTCAGATTCATTGAACAATTCTCTTGATAAACAGTCATAAATTATCCATTAAAATCACTTCTCACTTACATTATACTTGGCTTGTTCCGGGAATGCTCTTTCTACGCCGTTCGTTTCCCAATAATTCGCAAAAGCTTCATTGAGGAAGATTCGCGGCCAAAACACAGTCGTTACCAAATCACCGAACCACTGCAAAAAGTGAATTGATAGACTATTGCCGAGACGAGAATAATCTTCGGAATTTGGTGCTTCTTTTTCTGATTTTCTTAACTGCAATACACTCTCATCAAAGTTGTGTCATTGGAATAATGACCATTCAGCTATAAGCACCATTATAGCCATGCACGGATTTACGATAAGAAATAATTATGGAAGAGGAGGCGACCTGATGGACCGTCTCATGTGCACAAACATTCGCAACGTCCGCATAAGTTGCAGCAGTCGCATAAAGAGGATCGAGCAATTCTCGGCGATATGCAACATGGATTAGACCCCAATGCTCTTCAGCACCCTTCATTGTTGTGTATTGCGGGAGTGCGAGGACATCTGAAGGTTTAGTTGGAATCGACTGACGCATAATAAGGTTACGGGTATCAATCTGCATCCAGAAATGTTCTTGATCAGCAAATACTGTGCCTCAAAATTGGAATGCAGCTCAGGGAACCAACCAAGTTTTGGAAGCGGAAACGGGAAATCGAAGTGTGTTGCCATGAAATCCACCTCACCAACCACAGCCTAAAACAAAGAATCATAGTGAAGGCCGCTCACTCGTACTTCTAATCATCTGATGAATGCCAAACTTTCATATCCTCAAAATTCACACGTCACGGTTGCTTGTTCCGCGTTGATGTCAGATTTGTTAACGATTGAATGGAACATCAAAGTATTCCGTACTATTGTTAGTGATATCACAATCATCATCATTATCACCACTATCACAACCAAACTGACCTTAAGTGCATGTTCAGCATACACTTCCATGCCAGTCCATGCCCAGGCACGCACCAGCACGCCCGTTTCTGAAACGGTTTCCAGTGATGCGAAGTGCCCAACTGCAACCGCAAGCAAATAGCTTGACATTGGAGGTGTCAGCGGGAAGTACGTTGTGGACCAGCCTAAAACGAAGTCAATGTATAGTTTTGCTGCAAAATATCACCAAAGCAAGCTACTATCGTTTTTTTCGACATCACTAAGTAATCACTTAGCCAAACCGCCGACTCGTCCACAGCGCTAGCTGAGATACCTTCAAGAAAAATTAGAAATTGCTATGTTACCGGGCAAACCTGATATTACGGTTAGCTTGCAGGTCGTAATGCCTATAGCGCTACATTAATGAATACAATTGATCGATAGTGATACAATAAATATGAATGAGTGCCTCCGCACTAATTGAAATAGCTTTAGGAAAACAGCTATATCTCCTCATGTAAGCAAAATCGCTCAGCAAGAAATATATTTTTCTGAATGCAGAGATTCCGCTGGATCGAACGGTGTACACAGAGTCAGATGTTACTGGGCAAAGCTGTGAGTACGGTAGGTTCGAAGATAGCAACCCCTATAGCATTGAGGAAATAGCTATATCTCCTCATCTACTCATAATTGCTCGTCAAAATATACGATATTCTGAAACTACAGATTCTGAGCAATCGGATGGTGCAAAGAAATTCACATGTTACCGGACAAAGCTGAGAGTACGGTAGGCTCGAAGGTGGCATCCCCCATAGCGCTATATTAATGCACATATTGATCGACAGTGATCAGAAGTATATGAATGATCGCCTCTCCGCTAGTTGAGATAGCATCAGGAAAATAGCTATATCTCCTCATGTAAGCAGAATTACTCGGCAAAATATATATTTTTCTGAGTGCAGAGATTCCGCTGGATCGGATGGTGTACACAAAGTCACATGTTACTGGACAAGACTGAGAGTACGGTTACCTTGAAGATGATAACCTCTATAGAACTATGGTGACGTTTTGATGTTGACCTATTGTGATAGAATGTACATGAATAAGCGCCTTCACGCTTGCTGTTGAGACAGCTTCATGAAAATAGCTATATCTTCTCATGCAGGCGAAATCGCCCACCAGCATATATGTTTTTCAGAATCTAGATTTTCTGAGAAATCGAACGGTGTGGAGAAAACGATATGTTGCTCGGCAAACCTGAGAGTACAGCCAGCTTGAAAATGCTAACCCTCCGAGCGCTATATGAATGTATAGATCGATGTACAGTGACATAATGCTTACTTACCATCTTTCGAAACCTTAAATCCTTCATCAGGCATATTTCCNAGTGCAATCATATCTGCTGGATGATCCAATGTCACTTGCCAGCGGGCCTTATAGTTCGGCTCATCGAAACAAGGCACCAGCGATCTTGCACTTGGACCTGACTCGAAATAAGTCGAGAAAATCCAACTGAAATGCGAATCACTTTCATCAGCAACCACACGAATACAATCACACGCTATCGATTAACTCATTCTTCAATTTCTGCATAGATTCTGGTGAAACTAATGCATGAACAACTATGAAAGTATCAAAACTTCTCGAGAGATAAATTAATGAATGAAAGAGCGAACGCTTTTTTGTCGTTGAATTCAAAATAATTCGTATTCGTATAAACGCCTTTGCTTGGCTTCGCGAATATGAAACCGACATAGTCAATTGATAATATCCACACACTATTTGCAGTGAACGGCGCATCCGTATCAATATACAGGAAGGCTGAAGTAGTGTACCTATGACTAGGACTGACCATACATACCCCAACTTTTGCATTAATATCAGAGCAAGTTCTCTTCTGCAGACAACGTTTTTTTGCATTGTAGTGGGATGCCATTCCACTTTTCCGAAACATTTTAAATTAAGAAAGAAGAGTGGTTGTTCCCGTGAGAATCCTTCCATTGTGGTTTTATTATCATCTATTTGCATTTTAGGAGATCTTGAATTATATATGTGCGAAGTGAAAAGACTCGGAACCGAACGAACCATTGACAAGATCCTTTCTGATACTACTGATTTTGTATGTTTTATCAGCGTCTGATCGTTTCAGTATCATATTTGCAGCTTCGATGACCATACGATGAGAGTTCAAAACGAGTTTTGCACCCGATTTGAGCACTTTGAATGTTATCTGAAATTCACTTGTAATTTATGGATGGAATGTCCAGTGTCATTATTTCAAAAACGCATGAAAGTGATCAGATCAAATGTAGGAAGTAGTTCGCATCAAAATTTTCACGTATTATACTTTTTCGAATATGTCATAATCACTTTCCTGAGTCTTCACGAATTGAGATACGTTTGACGTTGACTCATCCTGCTCACAACAGGACTGATCAGCACTCTCCACTCTTTAGATGTTATGTGCTTTCCTCTCACTCATAGCTGGATGAACAAACGAATTAATAAATGAATGGTGAGCAATACAGGAACTTACGTCTACGTGCCCATTGAAAGTGAAATTCTGATACCAAGGATATTGGGCAGCGCCGGGGAAATGCGGTCGAACTGTGAGATTATAAGAGATTGGCTCGAAATTATGCAGTAAACGCTTTTGCCAATTCTCCATGTCGAATGGTCCAATAACGAAATCATCGTAAAAAGCACGTGCTGAAATAAATCCAAACTGAACAGCTGAATGCTTGAATTTTCGTCAACTTGCAAAATACTTCAGTGACTGATGAGAAGTTTGATTGAATGGCTTGAATGCGTTCGTTCTGTTTGATCTGTTCGAGAGCATTCATTTAAGTCAAGTTGTAAAACTAATTCTTCTTCAGGAAGTCAGACAAATGATTCAAAATGAACCAAGCACTCCAAAACAACAAGCCTATCATCCCCGCACAACCTGCAGTTATGCGAGTCCAGACATTACGAGTAAATGAAGCAGTTGTGTAGCGTTATTGTATGCTAATAGCTCTTCGTGATATCATTCAATTCAAGAGTATCAATAATGGATGGATCCCCTTCGATTTCATACGAGATGGAATCTCAAAAGCTAAATGTGAGCGGTTAACTGGAATCAATGAGGAAATGTGCACTCATGAAGTTTGCGAGGTTGATAGAATGACGAACGTACAGACAATCGGGAAATAGTTTTTCCACCACAGAATTTGTTCAACTGTTCGATTGCGGTATTTTTCGAAAATCTTTTGCTGATCGGTTGTAAGCTGAAGACTTCTCGTCAATTCATCAAACTGAAACAACTCCCAAATTCAGTTTTGTTTGGTCAGATGCGTTCCTATATCGTCTACTCAGAAGGCATTCCATTCGAATTCATGAATTCTGAACGCCAATTCTATTGGACAGCTCTTTATCGTAAACGGAAAATCAATTATAGAGAATATTACTGGCTGAAGTAGATCAAATATCAAATTAAACAGCTTGTTTTGTTTGTGAAGATAAACTTAGGCAAACGATCAGTTGTAGATGACCTGATCGAGACGTGCTTGTGAATACCATGTGGATGTTAACGCATCAATATATTCATCTAGATTATCGGATGCAAGCACACTGGCACTGTTCTCTTGCAGATACTCAGCTNATATCAAAAGTTATTTGACTATATCAACGGCGAAAAGCTCACTCGAAAATATCATTTCTCCTATTCGAGCAAGACATTCCTTCAAGCATCGCGTAATACTCAGTGTAGAAATAGAAGTCGTATTTCACTTGACCATCGTACAAATTGCGGAGTGTATTGAATGCTTGTTGGTCACCATACTTTGCACCTGCGCAATAGACAGCTTTCCTTATATCCGGATGAATCCTAAAAGTTAATTTCTCAGTTGAATGATAACAGTGAATGAATACTAAAACTATTCACCACTTATCTTCTGCAAGAATCTAGGATCGCTATGAGGTGTCAGGTGAATAAATGAATAAATACACACTCTGATGTTCATAATGATCATAACGATTGAAACAATTCGAAGAGAAAGAACTTCGTCACTAACGTTGTACAGTTGTCAACTCCGGTTGTTGACTGTCCGCATTCAGCAAGGAATCGTTTGAAGATTTTAAAGGCATCCTGTCCCGATGTTCCGGTTTCATACCGTACTGCAAACGGTAACATCATGAAACGTGTTATGCTGAAAAACGTTTGATGAAGGAGTTCAAGAAAGCAGTTCGGCAGAAAGAACAAATAATAATATTCACATCAATTATATAATAATGTTACATAAAATAATAATATAATAAATATAACAATACTCAGAAATATAGTAATATTCAGTTCATATGTACGATTCCCTATGATGAATTAAACTCACTCGGTATTCCAATCGTTTGTGACATTAAAACCGAGCATTTTGTAATTTTCGATGAGAAGAGTTTGGATACATCGCTGAAAATATAATGATAAATGTATTGAATGATTATTATCTAGTTACAACAGTTTCTTAATGAACTCAGTGATATGTTTTGAACATGTTGATTTCTGAGTAGATAGGATCGACCTTGAATAGCTCGTAATCTGGACCATCCATGAAAAGTTTCTCGAGTGGTTTGATAACGCGAGTTGCCATTTCNATGAACTGTGGATAGCACTATGGAATAAATCAGAATCGCTTGGTTAGTTACGAGACAAAAGGATTTTAGGAAAACTTTGGAATGCACATTAAAAATGCAGCAGAAAGAACGAACTTTAGCAGAGCGATTTGATCACCGATAAGCATAATTTGATCGGCAATTGAGAAGTCCTGATCTCTGCGCAGTTTCAGTCGATTGAACATTCGCTCAAATCCAACGTCATCATACTCTACTCGAACATGTGAACTCAATCCAGCATTTCCTAACTCCCAGTGCACATTCTCCAATGGAGTATCATCACTTGCTTTCGTGAGAGGCATTTCTTGATTAGGACAACTTTCGTAGGCTGCAAATCATTTACTATTTTGTTGCTGGAAATTGATCCCGAGGCGGCGCACCAGTATAGCAGATGGCAACAGCGATTCTTAACATGTAACCAGTGCGAGAAAAATTTTATATGTTTGCATAAGTTCCATTCAAAATACTTCGAGAAGACACAGAAATTAATTAGCAAATTAGATTCTACTTATCATAACAACTCAAAGNGTATAGCAGATGGCAACAGCGATTCTTAACATGTAACCAGTGCGAGAAAAATTTTATATGTTTGCATAAGTTCCATTCAGAATACTTCGAGAAGACACAGAAATTAATTAACAAATTAGGCTCTACTTATCATAACAACTCAAAGGCATTCATTACCACGCCGCTCCCTCTCAGAAGCCTTACACAAATGAGGAAAAATGTTTCTAGATAAGAAAAGAACAGTTGGATTGAGCCAAGCATATTGAGGTGGTAACCTGGAGGTAGCCAAGTCATTTTCTTCGTTGGTTTTAAATATGATGTCACACTGTTCGCCCAGAAGAAGGGGACTGGCCACGAATAATTGTAGGTGGGACTTGATGGAAGACTAGAGTAATTATTGAAGGGCTGTTGCGTGAACGTCACTTGCCCCGTTGGTTGGTCGTTCGTTAGTGTTATCAAAGGAAAACCCTGAAGATGTTATTATTTCGATGATGAATTATATGTTTTCGTTTGGACGATCAGACAATGAAAGCGGAAAAATCAAGTCAAATCGGACATGTGAACACATGAAAGAAAAAATTTCGCAACAGTTAACGCAGTGTACATTTTTCAACTTGAAAAGGCGGCCGTGTGATTTTTGTCGATTTTGACGTTTTTAAATACAATGATATGCCTGAAGTCCACCTTTGTGCACTTCAGGCATTCTTAAGTTGATAATTATGTTCACAAACCTGTTGCAAGAACCATGGATTGAGGAAAAGTGTAGCATTCAAAGGACGACCACACCAGTCTTTCACATTCTTCGACGTCTGAAAGCTTCTCCGAAAAAGTGCCATCCAATTTCAAGAATACTTCAGAAGATTCGGATGCCAAAAGAGGAAGGTTTTAATTGCTATGGAGTGTTGTAGTTCAATTAATTTTGCTTATAAATAAGTCATGGATGATATGAATCTATGACAGATTTGACTTTTGATTAAAAATGAAACGAGAATTTTATGATCGCCTAGAT